GTACTAGAATATTTACTCAAATGCGGTATGTATTTTTCTGTGCATAGAAGAAGTGAGTGTTATATTACCGAGTAGCGACGTTAGGCACAAATTTACTGTCTCATGAACAGACATTTTTTTAAATTTCTACTAGGGATGTGGTAGCATCGTCAAAGGAGTTTTCATTTGGCTAAAGGTCATCTAAGTAGATGCAAACTATCCTTAAAGTAGTTGGTTCACCAAACTATTTTCTTAGGAAGCTCTTTAATACTAAAACTATCAAAGCGGACAGAATGACCGGTTTGCAATTTTTCTCTTATAAAAGTTATTCCAATTTCTAATGGTGCATTCTCTGAGATTAACCGTAATTTTTATCGCAACGTGTAAACGAATAAATCTTCTTTCTTTTGCATTACTACATTATTGTATTTTTTCCAAAATCTTATTTAAACTGCTCTGGTAGAAAGATAAAGTACGTTGATCGTCAGTTTTAATGTTAAACTTTATCTACATTGAAATACTATCTACATGCCTGTAATGTCAGAAAACAATTGACTATTCTGAAGCTAAGATATTCGCAACTGAAGATGTTATTTTTTGCATGTATTTTTATACATATTCCTTCAGTTCACTGTCTTATGTTCAACTTCCGTTTTTAATTTCTTTTTGTAAGATACATCGCATATTCTCCTATCGATCATTGATATCAGTGAGAAAAGAGCTATCTCGCGGATCGATATCTCCATCCGTTCACCGAACTGCCAACACTTGATACTCTCCGTACGTTCTTTTTCGTGCGTGGCACGTTGTATGTTATATAAAAAAAATCTTTGTAATAGTTCAGTTAAATTGTGTAATACAAATACATCAGAGATTCATTCGGCTGTATACCCTTATTATTTCCTCGGTTGTCCTAACCGTCTCAATACTTTTAAATCGCATTTCAGATTTCAATGAAAAACCACTATGACATTAAAGGCTAATAAAGGGACATTGCACACAAATTTCGGAATTATTGACCGTTTTGTTTTGAAAATATAGCTATAAGAAATTTACAGTTTATAGTAATACTCACGATACATATACACGTATTTAGATATTTATATATCACTTTTTATTACGTGTGTACCTCTACTTAGCTCAACTAACTAAACAAAACATTAATAAGAAAAATGAAAAATAAATATCCCCGCACTTGTATTATTATATTGCATGTACACTCGTAATATTTTCGCGCACGAAATTAACATTTATCGTTTAGATAGTTAGCTAAAGTCATAGGGAAGTAATTTCTTCGGTAAATAATAAACTTATAGAGGAGCCCCTTAATATTGCCATTGAAAATCCGGCACTCTGCCTTACGAACGTCCGTCAAACCGGTGTAGCGTCGAAATTTCGACTCGAATGAGCTCGCGCGATATGTCCGTCATGCGAGCGATAAAGGAGGATGCGCCGCACTTGTTGCGATCGCGTTTCGCCCGTTGCGAGAGACGTCTATCCCGCGCTCATCGCAAAACCGGGAGGAAACGATCGCGTCTGCCTCCGGCGGTGCTGGCGTCGCGTCGACTCGGTGGCGATTCGTCGGGTCTGCGAAAAGTTTCGCGCCGACGAGAATCCGGCGGAAGAGGCGTAATCGTCGCGGCCGTTTTTCCGGGATAAAACGAAGGGCGCCGGCGAAAACGGACTGACAGGCCGTTGGAAAACTTCCGCACTAATGGCGGTTCCGTGCCCCGTTCGTTCTCACGGCGGATAGTTAAAAAGCCAGAACCGTCGTCGCCCAACCTGCGCGCGTATTTCACTCGCTCGATCGCTCGGCTCCCTCTTTCCTCCCTCTTTCTTTCTCGCTTAAGCGTAGGCATTCATTTATTATCAGCCCAGCGAAATGATCACTGCGATTTGTCTTATAGTTTTAGCTATACGTAACTTCTACACTAAGAGAAATATCGTTATCTTCGGAGACAATAATATCCCTTTCTGATCTTAGCCGTGAAAATAGTAATAGCGACGTGCACGTAAGAGGTTGTTGTCATTAACACTGTAATAACATTTACCAGAAAAATAGTTCCCCCGGCTATTTTTCTGGTTGAAATGAAAATAGAATACCGTTGTCCCCGAAAAAAACTATATTTTTCTCTCGATACAGTGTAAAGAACCGGAAATGCTTTCCTTTAACTAACAGGCGTTGATCCCGTTCATTTTTTTTAGGTAAATCGGAATAAGCTTTCCCTTCCGTATAGTTTGGTATATTCTGCATATTCTTAGCGCGTTATTTGTAAGTTTATCGTTTGAGTGTGTATTTATCGCGCATGAGAGGGGGAGTTTTACCCCCCCAAGGTGAATAAATCTAGCTATCTCGTTCTCCCGGTAGCGTTCTTCCGGCCGTCAATGAGCGAAGCGCTAGAACGCTCGACTCATTAAACTCCGTTTGGGGGGTCGCGAACCGCAATATGGCTTTTCGTCGGCGCTCATACGCCGACAATAACTCGTCACTACGGCGTTAAGTACCTTCTGGCCGCGAATCCAGGCCGCTGCAACGGTGAGATGCGGCTCTTGTTTTACGGGCCACCCCCGTAGACGCGCGATGGTCGTTAATGGGCTATCAAGGGCGCTCGAATACCTCGGCGTTGCCTCCTCTTCCCTCCCTCCTCGCACCCTGCTTTCCCGCTCGAACTCTCACCGGCCAATATTTGTATCTCGTCTGGCGTTTATTTACGATATTAACGTCGGTGGTTTCGACGGTGGCGGCGAGTTTTATATATATATGTAGAATTAAAAATGGCGTATGCAAATCCTGACGGTGGCGCGATCGATTCGACGGCGGCACTGCGTGCTGCTTTCACACGCGCGCTTCGACGCGATCGTAAATTCCTGAAGACGACCGGTTTTGGAAGCGAACACGTCTCAATGTCTCTCACCTCGAGGCACTTTGTCGTTATCGCGACACATTAATTTCGCTTTTATCATTCGCATCTCGCCCGTCCTCATCGGTGAGGGACACGTCGTTTAGCGACACCATCTGCGCACACGTCGCGAGAACGCTGACACGCAGAGAATTTTCTCTCGAAGATAAAGAGACATTCACGAACCGAAAAACTACGACAGCGGGGTCTTACCCGGCTAGAACATACGTGTAACGTCGGGACACTTTTAAAGCAGCATGGGAAGTTTAGAGAGCAACGCAAACGACACGATTACAACCGCAACGACCGCACATCGCTGCCCAGAAACCGTGGTCCGCGTCACAAATGCAACGGATATCCCGTCTCTTTCTGCTGTTCTCTGTATAAGCGTACAGTGTAGTGTTCTTAAATTTCCGGAAAAGTTACCTCTGAGAAAGAAACCCAGTTTTTTCCCTCGTTTTCTTTTTTTCTCCGGAAAAAACCCCGCCATTTTGGGAAAAATATTATTTTTGTTCGCAGAACGCGCAAGACGTTCTCAGATCAGATTTCGCCGTCTAGAATTTTCGACAATTTTATTTTTTATTGTATGTACTTTTTAGCTCCCTTCTTACATCTCTCTCAAAGATATTGTGTTCCAATCGAAGTCTAATCGAACATTTTCAAGTGGACACGCGTAATCTACTGTCTGCTGTCATCCACTATAGTATAAAAATATTATAGTGAGATCATCGAAGAATGAATACTTGGTGAAATATTTCACTTTTCACTCAATATTTTTCAATATAAGATATGAAATATCTCATAAAGTATCAATTTTTTAATACAAGATATGAAATATTTTATAAAATATTCGATTCACTTTTCGATAACATCACCTTAACATTTTTATATATAGAATGACAGATGGAATCGGCGCTATGAACGAATATAGAAAGATATTGAAAAATAATTCACTGCATTTTGCAAATATATCAATGCATCAATATGCAATAATAAATATCAGTAATTGATTTTTCTAATATTTTTATATATGAGAAATATTAAGGTAATAATTATTGAAAAATAAATACTTCATAAAATATTTTATATCCTATATTGGAAAATGTCAGAATAAAAAATAAAATATCTCACAAAATATCCACTTTTCGATTATCTCATCTTAATATTTTTATACGAATGAACAAAGAAATCGCGCGCAATTTATACTAAAAAAAATAATATAATCCGTTAAAAAAAATGAAGTTAACTGTGAATTATTGACGATACAACGCAGTTAAGATCACCAAAATATGTCTCCCTGCAAACTCGACAACCTTCGTCTGAAACATTTCTTTCTATTTTGCTTTATATTTTTTATATTAAGGTATCTCAATTTAAATGCCGCACTCTATACTGCATTCAAATAAATATTACTTGTTTCAAGTATTTCGCAGGTTTACATAATATTCACAAATCTATCATAAGCTCAATCATAAGCAATCATATCATAAATATAATCATAATCAAATTTATTTAAAATATGCTCTAAATCCTAATAAATTTAGTATTTTAATCAAGAATATTAAATTAAAACAAACTTCGGTTTGTGCTTATTCGAATTAACCAAATTTAACTTTTTTTCAATAAAGTTTATAATATCCTTGACAAAAGAATAAATTCTTTTGAATATATAATGAGCTTTTTTCAGATTTGTGACGAGTATATTTTAAGACTATTATCAAGAAAAAAAATTATTTATTAAAAATAACTATTATTTAAAAAGAAGAAAGTGAACTGATTATTCACTATTCCTAATAGTAAGATGCTATTTTTTTCTACGTACGTGTGATAAATTTCTAAATAAACAGATGAAAAAAAAAATCTGATTTAACTAATTGTTTATTGTTGTTATAAATTTTAGCTCCGGTATAGGTATATTTTAGTCGCGCGTAATACAAGTCCAGTGAATTATGCTGTATTATTCAAGACAGCAGTATATACTGTATTATTCAACAAAAGTTGCCTGCACGTACGTAATTCTGATTCTCAATATCGACGAGCGCCGGCACCGTCATTGAATTAAAGGGGAAGAGAAAATCACGGGAAACGGATTGTCGTGAAAAATGATTTTTGCGTACTCACCGGTGGTCGTTTCGGCGGTGTAGCGGTAGCCTGAAACAGAAAGAGAGAACGTTCTTCGTGAGTTTGGGTCTGTTTATCCTACGGGCGACGACGATTACGACGACGACGGCCGAGAGAGATGAAAAACGTCGGGTGTAATTGAAAGAAATTAGGTTCGAAAATAAAATTCCCTCGGGAGCGGCGCAAAATTCCGACGAGAAAACTCGGGGCTTCGGCTTCGAAGAGCGGCGCGGCTAAAATCCACCGCACACATATTATGTGAAAGTACAGTAATTTAACAGCGTACGGAGAATTCCTGGAAACAATTCCCGAGGCAAAGCCGGTAGCCGCTCATAAAATACAGCGAGAAAATACCACGAATTAGCGGGGGAATTTACAACAAAGTGCAGAAATTATTGGAAAGCGTCGTCGTCGTGTATTCGTCTCTTTCTCACTCCTTTCGTCCCGTACTTTCTCTGGCTCGTCCGCGAGAACGAGCGGCCGCCGCATCGCATGCGTATCCGATCTCTCGTGCAGGCCGCAAACGACGCACGCACTATGATTACGAAGTGCTCGAATAGTTGCGTTACACGAATACTTGGTGGACAGAGTCCTCTCGTATACAAGACTCCCGCATTCGGAAATATTCCAGCGCTTTGGTGCATTTTGCACGCAAACACCGGAGACTCCGTCTAATTTCGGGCAAATGCGTCAATAAATTTGCGGCTGCTTTAGCTCGTGGCTGCATAATTGCAGCTGCGTCGAAGATCCCGAGACGATAACCCTCACGTTTTTGTTTCCGGCAAAATCTGAGTTTCTTTCAACTTTTTTCTACTGTTCTATTGTCTCATCGCGAAACTTAAGAAGGCTATAAGGTGAAGTGAGTTTGATAAGAATTCGATGAAAAACTTGCATTACGTATGTATCGAAATATTGTCTAATTCCTCGTGCAATTAAAAAGAGATTGATCGTTTAAGAACTGGAAAATTTGCAATTAAAGTTGACATTTTTTACGCATATTCCTTGAGCATAAACATGCTATTTTTAATATCTTTGATATTAAAAATAGGAGATCAGGACGAAAAACTATAATATAATATTAAAAACTAATATGCATATATTATACACAAATTTCAGAATTATTGACTATTTTGTTTTTAAACTTGCTTATTGACTTGTTTTGCTTTTAAAATATAGTAATGTTAAGTTCATAATTTATAATACTCGAAATACACAAATGTATGTAAATACATATTTAAACGCTTATGTATCTCTTTTTATTATTGTACATCTCTATTAGATCAACTAATGCATAAATATAGCACTGATAAAAAAATAAAAGAAAAGTAATATTTTCATATTTGTATATAATACTGTCTGTATACATATATATTTTTTTCAATTTTCAACTTAACATCAATTTAACACTTATTATTTAGGCAATGAAATAAAAATATAAAAAATATAATATAAAATTTTGTTTAATAAATACTAAATTTATGAGTAGCCCGTCTTTTGATGCGCTACTGAAAATACGACCTGAACTTCACAATCTCTCTGTAAGTCACACTCTGATGATGATAAATATATTAATAATTCTGTATTAATAATTCTGTAGTCTATTTTCTTGCAGTTATATAATATTTAATGACAATATATTAAAAAAAAAAAGGAGATTTAATAAAGTTTATGTATTATTGTTACAAATGTCAAAAAAACAGTGCAATATAAAATAATATTATTTTAATTATAATATTATTTAATTTAAATCTCAACACATATAGAATAACTCCGGTATATACCTAAAGAAAACTTAATTTATGAAGTATTATTTATTATGTTTAAGGCAAATGAATTATACAAAAATTGGAAATGCAAAATATTTACTTTTTATATTTAACAGAAGAATTTGTAGAAACTTGTATTTTTGCCATACATCCCATAGGAATGGAATATACGACTATTCATAGGTAGAATATATGGCTTATACAGAATTTACAAATAATACTTATAAATAAGACGGAAAATGATNGGGATATATAAGACATTAAGCTCAACTAAGAATACAAGAGCTGAGCACTTGTATGTATTTTGCTATATTCCATTCTTTAATATTCCTTTACATTTATATATCGCATAATAATCATTAAGCTTTTTACATTCCCTACAATAATCATTTTAAGCAGATCGTAATATATGATTGCAATATTCACTATATTGAGAAATCGACTCAATTCACGATGATTTCGTCATATTCGTTAATATTAACAATAAAAAACTGAAGTCATAACACAATATTAACATAACATAAAGACATGTAATAGAGTGATTGTGAATAAATTACTCCCATTCTTTCTATTCTTTCTGACTTCTGCGGCGTAAATATCTAGTTACTCCATTATATCCAAATTTTTTTAGTCGTTTCTATTAATTTTCAATTGAAAAAGGCCCGAATATACAAGGACTAAAATGTCTAAACATAATATACAGAGTGTATTACATAAAATGTTACAAAGTGTTTTCTCCGAAATTATTACAAGTAGCGAGAAACTTTTTTCGCAGTTTTTATGGTTTGTTGGGGCCTTTTACATAACAGGGTGCCGCCGCTAATCACACTCCACAAAGAAGCAAAAGAGACGACATTCTATTTTTTTTAACGAAATAATATGTAAATTTTTACATTTTTTTTACATTTTTTGATAGATCTTGTTAAATGTGACAATATATTCATGAAAAAAATATTTTATCTTTCGCTTGGTTAAAAAGTGATGACGGAAAATATTTTTCAGTGACTTGAAGACCATGCATGTTAATACAAAATTACTTTATTCATTTTTTAATCAATCTTCTAATAAATCTTGTAATAAATGTTACAATATACGTTCCAAATGTAGTCCATTCACTTTCAACCATTTGTTAAATCTTTCTTCAACATTTTCTCATACATTAATTAACACTTGTAGAGTCACAGAAGCACAAACATCGCGAATTCCTTCTTTCGTGTCATTTTTCATTGTTGGAAATATAACCTGATTCTTATCTATAATAAACTCTGTAGAAAAAATTAAGTAGTGCAAAGTCGGACAAACGTGATATATTATTGTACTACTGACCTTTCCTTTATTCTTTTTATAGAATATTAGCAATCTTTCCTCGACAACCTAATTTTTACAACATATCGTTTCTTCACTTTCGAGCAATGCGACTGCGACAAACCCTGAGCGCGATGAAGTTTCGGGGTGGGATACGCGAGCGGTCGCATGGGCGCACCGTGTGCGCCATCGCGCGCGCATATCCTCGTCGAGACCGAAACCTACGAAATTTCCTCTGAACTGAATTTTTTCGCGTGACACGTCGGCTACTACGTCTCGCTTAAATCGCGTGAATTTCTCGTCGTAGTCGCGGCGAGATATCGAAGAGGACGATCGCTTGACAGATGTCAGCCGCGTGTCCAATTCTGGAATTAATATATAACTGCGTTACCTCCTCGCACGAAAAAGCCTTCGGCGGTAATTCACTGCGTCTGTCTGCTCCGCGCGCGAACACAGAACCTCGTTGCCTCGAGGTCTTTTTATATTCCGAATAGCGTCGCCGACGGAAAATCGGCCGGCTGCCGTCTGGCTTGAATTAGCAAAACGGGGCAGCGACGTCGACGACGGTCGTTTCGTAATCTCTCGCGTGAGAAACGAGTGAATGCCGAGGCAGTAAAAACGAGCGCCGTCGCAGATACATATATATATATATATGTATATGTATGTATACGCAGATATATATGTATATACATGCTCGCCCCGTCTCTCTTTCTCTCTCTCTCTCTCTCTCTCTCGTCCGTGCGGCTCTAACGACGGGAAGAACGGAAAAACTCCCTTTGCGCCGATCGTAAAAGGCGTCAAAGAGCCGGACTGACGCTTAAAATTTGCAAACGTAAGAAACCNGACTCTCGCTGAATGCACCCCCCCCCCCCTCCTACCCTTCCTCTCTCCCGGCAAGCCCGAACCGAAGGTGGAATCTCGCGCGACGCTCGACAAAGCGTCGCGTTTCCCTCTCGCGTTTTCCGCCGGACGGCTGACTTTAAACGACGGCTTTTTACGCTCTCAATGGGAGATAATAGCGGGAATCAGTGTATTTGTGTTCTCGAGACACGTTTTTCACGTTGCACGTTCGCTTCCACTCGGGGGTCTTCGTCCGAAGCACGGCTTTGACATCTTCATAGCGTTGTCTCTGTCAATAATACCGTAGTTGTGGGTCGCACCGATCGGTGGAATAAATTTCTGCATCGGATTGTTACATAACATCGGAAACAACACGCGAAAAGTATCGGGGTCAAGTATTCGAGCCAATTTCTCGGGGCCTCCCGGGATTTTCACGTCCGCACCGATTAATTTAGCTTCGCGGAGACTTACTACAAATACGCCGCACTGCTCTTCCTTTTTATTCACTTGACGTGCACACACACACACACACACACGCGCGCGCGCGCGCGTTGCAAATGCGTGTGTACATTTTTCAGACGGAACGGAGTGACTTTATACCGCGCAACATTTATCTTACTTGAAGAGAGAGAGAGAGAGAGAGAGAGAGAGCTCGCGACGGTCGTATAAACTCGGACGCGTCACGGGATTGTCCGTGAACGAATCAATGACGCATTTATATTTATTTATGCGATTTTCCATTTTCCATGCGACACGTATGTCCGAAACCGTGACATTCGGTCGCGCGGCCGTTGCATATGCACGCCGCCTCGCGGGATATTAAACGTAGCCGGAGAGCGAGCGAGATAGATATATAGGTGGATAGATAGATTGAGATAGATAGATGGATGTATGGAGAGAAAAAAACAGCTGGATTGTTTATTTATTCAAGCCGCGCGCGCAACACACACCGGTGCACATTCGGCACCGCGCCACCGTAATACTGGCCGCCTATTAAGACAGATGGCACAAAGATTATTTACGAGGATGCGCACCTGAGGTCGCGCATTTTCCATTTCGCTCGCCCGCGACCGGTCGTCGAAGCACATCGCGAGGTGCATCGAAATTGCGTTATCCAAA